CGGGGCTCTGCCCACCCCTGCGATGAGCGGGGCCGGTCTCAGCTGGCTCTGGCCAGAATGGCTTTTTCCACCCTAAAAGTTTGCCAGGGCGGCGGGATGGGTGTTACCGGTACCCCCAGGCTGCCCCGACTCGGGGTGTCCCCCGGGAGCCCCGGGCGGGGGGAAGGGGCTGCAGCACCCCCAGCCCCATCGCTGCCCCGGCGCTGGCACCACAGGGTAAACTGAGGCACGGGGTGGCCTCATGCATGGCCCCGCTACGCCTGCGAGAGGGGATGGAGGGGGCTCGGCGTCAGGCCTGGAGCCCCTGGGGACACCCCGTGGGGAAACTGAGGCACGGAGCCCCAAGGCTGGGGGCCTGGAGCCCCGAGCAGGTGGGCAGACAGGCTCACGGCGGGTGTGCGAGAGCGCGCGTGTGCCCATGGCTCTGCGGGTTGCGTGCGTGTGTGCTTACGTGCCCATTTACAGCCTCACTGCAGGGGTTGTGCCTGCGTGTGTGTGTGTGCACGAGTGGGTACGCACACCCCTTCGTCCGGCCCTGCCGCGCGTTGCATGTGTGCGCTCGTGCAGTTTTATGGACACGCAGAGCCTCCCTGCGGGGCGGCTGCGTGAGCGCGTGCGTGTACACACGGGCGGCATCGCTGCAGGGCGTGCGTGCACATGTGCAGCCTCGCTGCAGGGTGTGTGCGCACACGTACAGCGTCAGAGCAGGACGGGTTCATGTGCACAGCCCTGCTGCAGAGAGTGTGTGTGTGTGTGTGTGCATGCACAAGTACAGCGTCACTGCAAGGGGGGGGTGTGTGTGCATGCACAAGTACATCGCTGCACTGTGGCGCTGTGTGTGCACGAGTCCAGCGTTGCTGCAAGGTGTGTGTGTGCACGCACAAGTAGCGCATCGCTGCAAGGTGGTTCTGTGTGTGTGTGCATGCACAAGTACATCACTGCAAGGTGTTCGTGCACGCACAATTACAGCATCGCTGCAACGTGGTTCTGTGTGTGTGCACGCACAAGGACAGCGTTGCTGCAAGGTGTTTGTGTGCGCGTGTGCGTGCACAAGTACATCACTGCAAGGCGTTAGTGCATGTGTGCACACACGAGTACAGCATCGCTGCAAGGTGGTTCTGTGCGTGTGTGTGCATGCACAAGTATATCGCTGCAAGGTGTCTGTGCACACACAAATACAGCATTGCTGCAACGTGGTTCTGCATGCGTGCATGTGCGTGCATGCACAAGGACAGCGTTGCTGCAAGGTGCTTGTGTGCGTGCACAAGTACGTCACTGCAAGGCATTGGTGCATGTGTGCATGCACGAGTACAGCATCGCTGCAAGGTGTCTGCGTGCACACAACCTCACTGCAGCTGTGCCTGTGCATCGACGTGCCTGTACACAGCCTCGCTGCAGCGGGTGTGTGTGCACACGCTCACTGCGTGTGCGTGCACGTGCACCAGGGAGTTGTGGCGATGCACCCAGCCTGGCGCAGCACGGACGGGCGCTGCCAGGCCCCGGGGTGCTCCCAGCACCCGGGTCCCCCCCAGCACCCCACCTGCGGCTGCAGGCCCGCGGGGATCGATGGCAGCGGCAGGAGGCCCAAGGTGACCCCGCGAGGTGCCAGACGCCCGCAGCGCTGCGGGGGGAGCCGTGCTGCCACCTTCCCGCCGGTCACCCTCCAGTTTTGGGGGGGACGTTCGTGACACCCAGCCGTCCTCCCGTCCCCGCAGCCGCCCCTCGGGGCTCTGCGCTGGGGCTGAGAAGACGCAGGGTGCAAACCAGGGCAGGGTGCTACTGGCTTGGCTGGGGAGAGTTGGGGTGCCGTGGCTGGGGGGGTGACACCCCCAGTGGGACCCCAGTTTGGCCACTGTCGGAGCATGCCCCTGCTTTTCCCCCAGCACCCTGAGCCGGGTGATGGGGACCCGCCTTTGGGCGGGCTGGGATGAGCATCCTCGAAGGATGCATTCTGGGGGTGCCTGGACTGGAGCGGGGCTCCCCGCGAGCGCAGGGGGAACCAGAAGCATCCCCCTGCCCAGGCAGGGGTGCCGGCCATGGAAAAGCTTTACCCATCGGGCTGGCAGGCCAAAAACCCCCCAAAACTCCCCCAAAACACCTCGGAAGACGTCACCGATGGGCCACCATCTGGGCAGGGACGTCCCCAAGTGCTGGGGATCGATAGCACAACCCTACGTGGGTTTTCCCCCCCCCAAAACCCAAGTTCTCAGCCCCTGTTTCTCCTTGTCGGGGTCCTCCAACACGAATCCCTCTGGCAACCGGCAAAGACCTGCACGTTTATGCTGCCCGGTGCCGGCAGCTTTGCCGCCTGGCGAAGGAAGAGGGCACGACATCCCGGCTCAGCTTCCCAGTGTTCCTGATACAAACTCGCTCAGTCCCTTCTTTCCCATCGGCCTGGTTCGAGCTCCGCATGTTAGGGGGGCATCAAAAAGGCAGAAACTCCCCCAAAAAGGAGCAAAGCCCTGAGCGCAGTGGGAGGTGGGATGGAGCCTATGGACACCGCAGGGCTTTTGGGTGGGCGACAGCCACGCGGTGTGGCAAGCACCGTGCCTCAGTTTCCCTGCTGCCCTCTGAGCTCAGTGCAGCCTTTCCCTGCCACCCCGCTGGGACCTTCCCCTGCGCCCCAGGACTCATTTTGAGCCAGAAACCCCAAATCCTCCCTGTCTCCATCCCATCTTTCTCCGCACGGGAGAGGGCTGAACACTGAAGCGACCCTGGTGAGAGCTGGCACTTTTTTTGGCTGAAGTGTGGCACAGCTCTGGCGGCCACCCTGCATAACCCTGCGATGGGTGCAAAGTCCCCAGGGAGGACGTGCACAGCACCCTCCCCGTGCCAGCAGCCGGGGCGCGGGGATGCTCCCAGCCGGGTGCTGCAGCACCGTGGGGGTTTCCCCACCCGCAGCTCCCACCCTGGTGGGCACCCCAACCTCGAGCACATCCCAGGAGGGCAGTTTGGGGCAGGATGCTGGGTTTTCGGCTGCAGAGGGCCAGGCGGTGGCAAGGGCAGGGTGGGTGCTGTGAGTGGGTGGCTGGAGTGGGAGCAAAGACCTTGGGCTGTGTCAGTGGCCCTTTGGGGGGGTCAGGCCCTTCTTGGGGAGGCTGTGGGGGCACGAGCTGCTGGGGACACCGTGTGTGTGTGTGTGTGCACATGTGCCTCAGTTTCCCCTCTGTAAGGGGGACCCCGCTATGGCCGGAGGGGTGGGTGGTTCATTTGGGGCCACCAGTGCTGCCCATGGGGGATCTGTGGGGACCAGGGCCGGGGGAACGGCCAGACTGATCCCCACTCCCCCCGCAGAGATCCGTGAAGCCTTCAAGGTGTTCGACCGGGATGGCAATGGCTTCATCTCCAAGCAGGAGCTGGGCACGGCCATGCGCTCCTTGGGCTACATGCCCAACGAGGTGGAGCTGGAAGTCATCATCCAGCGCCTCGACATGGACGGTAGGACCCTGGCGCCCCGCGACAGGGATGGGGACGGGACCCCAGCACCCTCCCTTTGGGGAAACACCCAATCTGCCCTGTTTCTGCCCCGCTGGCTGGTGGCTGCCGGCCCCGATGTGGGATGCGGGAGGGCCTGATCCAGGCTCTGCCTTGTGCCTGGAGCCTCCTGCATCCATCATCATCATCGTCATCGTCATCGTCATCGCCACCCCAGCTTCGTTTAGGAGGATTTAATGATCCTGGTGCACTTGTGGGCAGGAATGGCACCTCTCCCGGCTCGGCAAACCAGCTGGGACTGGGCTGCTGGGGCCGGATCCTGCACCCCGGGCTGGATCCTGCACCCTGGGTCGGATCCTGCACCGCGGGCCATGCCCTCCCCACCCAGCAGGCCAGGCTGGCCATGCGCCTCCAGCACTCGCTGCCACCATCTGCCTGTCCCCGTCGCTCCCGCACTCATCAGGACCTTAAAGAGCTCGTTAATTTATTGGTTTCCTTTTTTCCCCCATTTAAAAGCCTTTCCGGCAGCGCTGCCAAGCCGCCACTCCCTTCATTACTCATCGTTAGTGCCGGCCTGCCAGCCCCGACACCAGCATCCTCCGCAGCTGCAGGATGCGGCCAGCCCGGCTGCACCCAGCCCCTTCCCAGTGCCGCCCCGGGGTCACAGCCACCACGGGGGTCCCCAGCTGGCATTGGGGTCCCAGCTGTAACTGGGGTTCCAGCTGGTTTTCGGGGCCTTGGATGGTATTGGGAGTCCCCAGCCAGCATTGGGGGGCCCCAGTCGACATTGGGGGTCCCCGGATGGCATTGGAGTGCCAACTGGCACTGGGGACCCCAGCCAGCGTTAGGCATCCTGGCTGATGTTGGGGGACCCCAAACTTTGTTGGAGGTCCCCAGCCACTGTTGGGGTCCCTGCCTGGTTTTGGGGGGGCCCAGCCAACATTGGGGTCCCCAGATGGCACTAGGGGGTCCCCGATGGCATTGGGGTGCCAGCTGGCACTGGAGACCCCAGCCAGTGTTGGGCATCCTGGCCAATGTTGGGGGACCCATAGCCATGCTGGAGGTCCCCAGCCAGTGTTGGGGTCCCTGGCTGGCTTTGGGGGTCCCTGGCCAGGAATGGGGACCTGGTTGGTACTGGGCGTCCCCAGCCAGCTTGGGGGTCCCTGGCTGCTGAATCTGAGAGTCCAAGGTCCCGTAATACCGGCTGCTGCTGTGGGCCATTGTGGGGTGGATGGGCAAGATTGGGGGGCTCTGGGCGCTGCCTGAGCCCCCCAAGTGCTGTGCCCAGGAGCAGGGTCCCCCCAGGCAGCCCCAGAGCAGGGTGTCCCCAGCAGTGCCAAGCCCAGGAGTGGGGTCCTCCCAAAAAACACCGAGGCTTGGAGCGGGGCCCCCCTGAGGCTGCGCAGGGGTGCACCTCTGAGCATCACCCAGGGTGTCCCCACCCAGGGGACCCTTCTGGGGGTGGGAGGGGAAGTCGCATGCGTCCCCCTGCCCGGGCAGGGGGTGATGGTCACCTCCGTGTCCTGCAGGCGACGGGCAGGTGGACTTCGAGGAGTTCGTGACGTTACTGGGGCCCAAGCTGTCTACCTCGGGTATCCCGGAGAAGTTCCACGGCACGGACTTCGACACCGTCTTCTGGAAGGTAGGGACACCCCCCCACCACCCCCCCCCCTCACCCCTGCACGTCGCCT